CTCTCCCCTTTGATCAGCGCTTCAGTCGCTTGATGGTGATGTCTGTAGATGGAGGTGGAAGAGCGAGGAAGAGCATGGCAAATGTCTCTTCCTTTTACCATGTTCTTTCGTCCCTCTTGGCTTTCCCCTCCTTAAGAGTAGTCCCAAACTGACCAAAGGAAGGGGGGGGTGACTCACTCAAGAGTCCAACAGATCCTTTGTTGCTGCCTAGGCCAATGTCCTTTGTTCCTGTGAGGCTGGGCTGGGTTTATCCCATCCATTCCCTGATGAGGTGTGAACAGCTCCTCTGCTCTTGGAGAGTTTTTGCCTGGGCATGTTTTAAGCCACGAGGACACATTTTCAGCCTCATAACTATATACATGAAATTACAACCTATAACATTACTATAACAATGCTCAGTGCATCATGAGCCTTCCGAAGACACCCGACATGACAAACTTTGCATTGGCTACCACACAATCATATTATAAGGATTAACATGGGGGTGTAGCGCGTTCCCTCGAGGTACAGAACAGCACACCCACTGACTATAATATTGCACAAACATGCAAATTTATATTTTTAATACATTATGCTTATACAATGATTTATTTCTCTTCTCCCAGCTTTTTCTTTTTAAACTTTATTTATATATTACTGGAGATACAAAAAATGGAACTTTATTTTAACATTTATCTACTCCTATTATTTCCCACCCGAAATCAGAATCCTGTCAATCAGTTGCGGATGGAACTACATCATTATAGCAGATTATAACTTGACAAGAAGGAATAAGCAACAGGAACAAAAAATTGTTTAATAACAAAAACATAGGTCAGAGGAAAAAACAAAGAAATTTTTTAAAAGTGACCAATGAGATTTGCAATACCACCATTTTTTGGATGCCCAACTCAAAACACATTAAAGGGGCCTGATTAGCAGAAGGCAGGTGCTCAATACTTTCTAAAAATCAAGCCCCTTTAAATCTCCTCAAATTGGGCACCTAAAATTTGATGGACCAAAACTGATTAACCACTTTTCAAAAAGTAGCATGCAGTATATAATACATTACATTTGAAGTTAACATTGTTTATATGTGAACACACAAAAAACAGAAAATATTAAGGTTTCCATGGCAAGAGTTACCTTGCCACATTGTACATACTTTAATATTAAAGTTGCAAATTTAATAATCTAAATAGTATTCTAATACACCTTTACCCCGATATAACGCGACCCAATATAACATGAATTTGGATATAATGCGGTAAAGCAGTGTTCTGGGGAGGGGGGGTGTGCGCACTCCGGCGGATCAAAGCAACTTTGATATAACGCGGTTTTACCTATAACGTGGTAAGATTTTTTGGCTCCTGAGGACAGCGTTATATCTAGGTAGAGATGAATACAACATGGGCCTAATCCAAAACTCAGTGCATTCAATGGAAAAACTTCAATGGGCTTTGGAGCAGTCTGGACAATTTAATGTTGCTTAAGAAACATTCAATTTTGTAAGATGAAACAAAAAAACCTTTAAGATACAACATTACTGAATTGAACGATTTTTTTAATGCAACTCCACAGAATGGAAGCTACAGTTCTCAGGTATTTTCTCACACACACACACACACACACACACACACACATGTTTTCATGGGCATGCACAAAACATGTTCAATCATTTAACACTTATTTGCCCTTTCTCAAACATAAGTAATTATTCCTCAATGAGGGCTTTAGCCCTGATCCTGCACTGTGATCCACACAGACAGACCCCTGCAGCTGTGCAGAGACTAGCTGACTTCAGCAATGCTCTAGTCCAGTGGTTCCTAAACTTGTTCCACTGCTTGTGCAGGGAAAGCCCCTGGCCGGCTGGGCCGGTTTGTTTACCTGCCACATCTGCAGGTTTGGCCGATCGCGGCTCCCAGTGGCCGTGGTTCGCTGCTCCAGGCCAATGGGAGCTGCTGGAAGTGGCGCGGGCTGGCCAGCCCTGAGTGAAGTTTTCACCCCTCATTTCACAACTATTATGGAGCATACAGCACGCAGCTATAAGCATAGGGATATTGTCATCAGGCAGGTCCAGTTTCCCATAGAGGCAGTGCCAGCAGGCTTTTAAACGGCCAAAAGCACACTCAACAGTCATTCTGCATTTGCTCAGCCTGTTGTTGAACCGCTCCTTGCTGCTGTCAAGTTGTCCCATGTATGGCTTCATAAGCCACGGCATTAAGGGGTAGGCGGGGTCTCCCAGAATCACAATGGGGATTTTGACTTCCCCTATTGTGATCTTCTGGTCCGGGAAGAAAGTCGCTGCTTGCAGCTTCCTGAACAGGCCAGTGTTCCGAAAGATGCGTGCATCATGCAAGTCTCCAGACCAGCCTGCACTAATGTCTATGAAATGCCCCTGGTGATCCACAAGCACCCGGAGAACCATTGAGAAATACCCCTTTCGATTAATGTACTCGATGGCTAGGTAGTCTGATGACAGAATCAGAATATGCATGCCATCTATCGCCCCTCCACAGTTAGGGAAGCCCATTTGTGCAAAGCCATCCACAATGTCACGCACGTTGCCCTGAGTCTCGGTCTTTCGGAGCGAATGCGATTAATGGCCCTGCACACTTCCAAACTCGTTAGCGACTGATCGGTAGCATTCTGGAGTAGCCAGCTTCCACTGTGCAATCGCCACGAGCTTCTCCAATGACAGGGCAGCTCTCATTCTCATGTCCTTGTGCTGAAGAGCTGGGGCGAGTTCATCACACAGTCCCATGAATATGGATTTCCTCATCCGAAAGTTCTGGAGCAACTGCTCATCATCCCAGACATGCATGATGATGTGGTCCCACCACTCAGTGCTTGTTTCCCGAGCCCAAAAGCAGCGTTCCACTGTGATCAGCACCTCCGTGAATGCCACAATCAATCTCGTGTCATAGCTACTACGTGTGGCGAGATGTCACACTCCTCTTGCCTTTGTAGTTTAAGGAATAACTCCACTGCCACTCGTGACATGTTACTCAGAGCGAGCAGCATACTGGTCAACAGTTCGGGATCCATTCCTGCAGCCCGAAGAGGCAGTGCACGCAGTACACAAACCGTTGAAAGATGGTGCCAAATGCAGATGGAAGCACAGGGATTTCAGGGATGTGAAGCAATGCATTACGAGTCATTGGGACAGGACCCATGATGCCCCGCAAACCCCCTCCGCCTTAGCGGCAGAAGAGAAAGAGGTGCTCTGCGGGATAGCTGCCCAGAGTGCACCACTCCAAATACCGCCACAAGTGTGAACATGCTATTGTGCAGGCAGCTGACAGTGGGTACGTGTTCACTATCCGCCATATCGGCGGGTAGCAATCAATTTATCCGGGATCGATATATCACATCTTAACAAGACGCGATATATCGATCGCCGAACACGCTCCCCGTCGACTCCGGAACTCCACCAGAGCGAGCGGTAGTAGCGTAGTCGATGGGGGAGCCGCAGTCGATGGGGAGTCGATCCCACGCCGTATGGACCCCAGGTAATTCGATCCAAGATACTTCGACTTCAGCTACACTATTCGCGTATCTTGGATCGATTCCCCCCCCCCCCAGTGTACACAAGCCCAGTGTGAAAACAACAGCGGTTTCCCTTCAGCGCTTTCTGAGCGGTGCTGTAACTGCCGGCGCTGTAACTTTGCCAATGTAGACGTGCCCTTATGCTCGTGAATAACTACACTCCTATGACTGCTTATGCAAATACGTTAACGTATTTGAAAAGTGTTTGCACAATCAGGCTCTACATCAAGCATTTGGTAATATTCTTGGATGAATGAATCAGTGAAAACAAGAGCTTCTTGATATATAAATTTGAACTTATCCTTTTAAAGGATGAAAGCAATAGTTTCCAGGTGCAGCAAGGATCATCTAAAGAAAAAAGAAAAATCCACACATCTAGAATCTTGAAAGGAAGAAATTCAATATGGGAAAAATGAAAGCTGATCATTGTGGAAACAAGTGTCTAACGCATTATATATTGCCTCCTTAAATAAAATATTACACTAAACATACCTACCACTAAGACCTTCAAAATTAGATGATTCTGATGTGACGATTCCAGTCTATGATTTTCTAAAATATTAAAAACAATCAATTGAGATACAATACAAAGCACAGAACACATATTAGATACTATTGTGTAATAAAAACAAACAAGCATTTTTCCCTCCTGTTAGAGAAATATTTAAGCAAGAGCCTGTGGTGAAAAGTTTGGGCTGTGCCATACCCACCTCAGTGTTTAGCCCATCTTCAAGTATCCTGATGCGTATCAAGTATATTAGTATTTTTTCCTATTACAAAAATACTTCTGAATCTCTCTCTCTTTTCTGAGAACTACTTTATAATAGAAAAATAGGAAGAAAATTGTGTTAAGTGTGATTGAGGCTCTGATCCTGCTCCCATTGAAATCAAATACAAAACTAACTGAAATACAATGTGAAGCAAGAATGGACCCTAATGACTGGGTACTAATCTGACGCCCATAGAAGTCAATGGAAAGACCCTCGTCAACTTCCACAGGGCTTTGGATTTGGCTGTTAGATCTCAAATGGGACTTCTTATGATACATGAAGTTCTGCACAAACACAGTCACTACAGAATTAGGACCTTTAAAGATTCAGGCTTCAGAATTACAATACAGCCTAAACTCTCTGGATACTTTTTGTTTTGTTTTTTTAACCATTTTACAAGCTCCTTCCCTTTATGCTCATTGTCCCTGCCTAAATAATAATTGAATAAAGTGATGTATTTGTACATACTCACTTTTCAGAGTAGAAATTCATTTTATAATTAAAGTGCGGCTATGCATGAATCATCTGAGGGTTTTTTCTAAACCTGAAGCTATCATTTTTGTTTTTTTAATTATGCAGGCTCAATTGTGGTTTTCAGTAAGGACAATAAAATGGATATTCTCTACAGAAAGGTCACAATTTTAATATTTTTATTCTTTTGGGCAGGCATTTTGTGAGGGCTCAGATGGCTAGGGAAAGAGCTCCTTTGAGGAATGGGGAGATTTTATTTGGTTTGTAATATTTTTGACGCCTAGTGATTATGTATGTGGGGAAAATGTGTTGCTATTTTGGTTTTGTATTTATTTTTGTACTTGTAACTGATGGCAAGGGTCCCTGATGCCCAGAACATGCATTCTTGTACGTGTTTAATTAAATCTGCATAAATATAGCATATACATTACTTAATTCTGGAGCATGAAGAGAAGGGTCAGAAAAGCAAAATATAAAACATTTGTAATCAATTCTGCTATTAAGTAAAAACATCAGGTCCAATTTATTAAAATAATCAACTAAACACAAACTTCATCCTCTACAATACCCCTCTTCTCAGGCTCTCTAAATCATCCTTAATTCAGTGTAAGCCCTCTCAAAAAATCATTCAGTTTTCTCTGTTCTTGGTGAAACCCTTCCCTCAAACCATCATAATCTACTAGAATTCTTTTCCTTCTCTAGCACTGCTGCTATAATATTTTGACTCCTTTAAAGATTTCCATAACTTCCAACCTTTTGAAGGCTCTAGAGCAGGACACTAAACATTTCTTGGCATCTGACATTTCTAACAAATCAGCAGCATTCTGGGAGGCAGCCCACTGGAGAATCTCCTGATAGACAAGTGGAATCTTGGTCTAGACCAAATAGCCCTGTGTAAGATTCTGTTGAGCACCCACCACCTTATTTAGGTCACTGCTTTGGAGTCACCAAGAGTGGAATATATACATAGGCATGGACAAACACTTGAAGAAAAAGTTATTTAAGAGAGTTTTTTTTATTGATGATGTTGTTCGAGATGTAGTCCATATATATGTGTTCCACGACCCACCCTTCTTCCCCTCTGCTTCAGAGTTCTATTGTATAGCTAGATTCTGTGGTGGAAAAATAACTGAGTTGTGGTTGGCCCTACACCACCATTTATGTTCTTGGAACGGCAACATGGTGAGATAATACACAATTGAAATATTGTTATAGAAGGATACAGCTTGCTCAGGAAGGACAAGCAGGGAAAACAGATGTATACGCTTGAACTGAGGTTGAGATGGAAATAGAAGACAGGCTTGTTGAAAGGCTCTGTGTAAGGATAACAGGGGTAAAAAACAAGGGTGATGTCATGGTAGGGGTCTACTACAGACCACCTAACCTGGAAGAAGAGGTGGATGAGGCTTTTTTTAAACAACTAACAAAATCATCCAAAGCACAGGATTTAGTGGTGATGGGGGACTTCAATTACTCAGCCATCAGTTGGGAAAATAACACAGCAGGGCACAGATTATCCAACAATTTCTTGGAATGTATTGGAGACAAATTTTTTTTATTTCAGATATGGAGAAAACTACTAAGGGAGAGGCTGTTCTAGATTTGATTTTGACAAATAGGGAGTAACTGGTTGAGAATTTGAAAGTGGAAGGCAGCTTAGGTGAAAGTGATAATGAAATGGTAGAGTTCACAATTCTAAGGAATGGTAGGAGTGAAAACAGCACAATAAAGATAATGGATTTCAAGAAGGCTGACTTTAGCAAACTCAGGGTGCTGGTAGGTAAGATCCCATGGGAAGCAAGTTCAAGAGAAAAGAGGAAGGGAAAAACAATTCAAGAAAGTTGGCTGGTTTTTAAGGAGACATTATTAAAGGCACAAGAGCAAATTATCCCACTGTGTAGGAAAGATAAGAAGTATGGCAAGAGACAACCCTGGTTTAACCAGGAGATCTTCAATTATCTGAAACTCAAAAGACTCCTACAAAAAGTGGAAAATTGGTCAAATTACAATGGATAAATATAAACAAACAACATAAGCATGTAGGATTAAAATTATAAAGGCCAAGGCACAAAGAAAGATTAAACTAGCTAGAGACACAAAGAGTAACAAGAAAACATTCTATAACTACATTAGACGCAAGAGGAAGACAAAGGACAGGTTAGGCCCGTTACTCAACAAGAGGGGAAAAACAACAACAGAAAATGTGAAAATGGCAGAAGTGCTGAATGATTTTTTTATTTCAGTTTTCACCAAAAAGTTTAGTAGCAATTGGACGTCTGACATAGTGAACACCAGTGAAAATGAGGTCGGATCTGAGGCTAAAATAGGGACAAAACAAGTTAAAAAATATTTAGATAAGTTAGATGTCTTCAAGTCGATAGGGTCTCATAAAATACATCCTAGAATACTCAAGGAGCTGACTGAGGAGATATCTGAGCCACTGGAGTTTATCTTCAAAAAGTTATGGAAGATGGGAGAGATTCCAAAGGACTGAAAAGGGGCAAATATAGTGCAAATCTATAAAAAGAGGCTAAGGACAACCTGGGGAATTACAGGCCACACAGTTTAACTTCAGTACCTGGAAAGATAATGGAGCAAATAATTAAGCAATCAATTTGCAAACACCTAGAAGATAATAAGGTGATAAGAAACAGTCATCATGGATTTGTTAAGAACAAATCATGTCAAACAAACCTAATAGTTTTCTTTGAAGGGTAACAAGGCTTGTGGATGGGGGGGGGAGGGGAAAGAAGTGGTAGATGTGGTATATCTTGACTTTAGTAAGGCTTTTGATAGTCTCGCATGACCTTCTCAAAAACGAACTATGGGAAATACGACCTAGATGGAGCTACTATAAGGTGGGTGCATAACTGGTTGGAAAACCATTCCCAGAGAGTAGTTATCCGTGGTTCACAGTCAAGCTAGAAGGGTGGGGTCCCGCAGGGATTGATCTTGGGCCCAGTTCTGTTCAATATCTTCATCAATGATTTAGATAATGGCAGAGAGAGTACACTTATAAAGTCTGCGGACAATACCAACCTGGGAGGGATTGCAAGTGCTTTGGAGGATAGGATTAAAATTTAAAATGATCTGGACAGACTGGAGAAATGGTTTGGTCTGAAGACAACAGGATGAAATTCAATAAAGACAAATGCAAAGTACTCGACTTAGGAGGGAACAATCAATTGCACACACAGAAAATTGGAAATGACTTCCTAGGAAGGAATACTGCAGAAAGGGATCTGGGGGTCATAGGGGATCACAAGCCACATATGAGTCAACATTGTAACACCGTTGCAAAAAAAGCGAACAACATTCTGGGATGTATTAGCAGCAGTGTTGTAAGCAAGACACAAGAAGCAATTCTTCCACTCTATTCTGCACTGATATGGCCTCAAGTGTCCAGTTCTGGGTGTCACGTTTCAGGAAAGATGTGGACAAATGGAGAAAAAAGTCCAGAGGAGAGCAACAAAAGGTCTAGAAAACATGACCTATGAGAGAAGATTGAAAAAATTGGGTTTGTTTAGTCTGGAGAAGAGAAGACTGAGCGGGGACACATGATAACAGCTTTCAAGTACATAAAAAGTTGTTACAAGGAGGAGGGAGAAAAATTGTTCTTGTTAACCTCTGAGGATAGGACAAGAAGCAGCAGGCTTAAATTTCAGCAAGGGAGGCTTAGGCTGAACATTAGGGAAAACTTCCTGTCTGGGTAGTTAAGTACTGGAATAAATTGCCTAGAGAGGTTGTGGAATCTCTTTCATTGTAGGTTTTTAAGAGCAGGTTAGACAAACACCTATCATGGATGGTCTAGATAATACTTAGTCCTGCCATGAGTTCAGGGGACTGGACTAGAAGATCTCTCAAAGTCCCTTCCAGTCCTACGATTCTATGACACCTCATGTGCCCATCAAGAACTAGAACTGTTGCCTCGCAAGAGGGGTAGTATTTGAATCCAAGTGACTTTCGATGTGACTTCCTAAAGTCATGGTCCCAGAGAAAGTCTGGTGAGGAACATATGCAAGGGAAGGAAGAATTAACAAGACTTCCCAAAAACTAACTATAATTTATCAAAAAATGGGGAGGTGCCAATGGTCAACTAACTAACCAACCAACACTAATATATAATTGATTCCAAAAACCATTAACAAAAGGGAGAGACACTGGGAGGTCCATCTCAAGCCACACAGGCGATGAGAAGGACCAAGTGGCAACTGGTCCTGTACTGTCCTTTATACCAGTGGTACAGGAGCACAAAGGAACTCAGTGAACATGAGTGGATCCAATAGACACTTCTGGCCAAAAGTCTTTCATCTTGAGTGTGTGGGGCAAACGCGCACTAAGACTGGAATGAAAATTTATATATATGATCAAGCACTCAAAGAAGAAGTCCTGATAACATATCCTTGTGATGGGGTGCAGCCCCCATCACCAGACTGGTGCCTCCTCCTGGTCATGCTGGAGATTAGCTCAAGCCGAACACCCACGTCCATGGTCTGCACACCAGCACTCAGTCTCTGCTCCTGCCTACGGCTCCTCTCTCAGCTCCCCAAACCGCAGGGTCATCTTCTTGACTCAGCCCTTAGGCTGAATGGGGGGGGGGGGAGAGAAGAGAGAGACCCGGGGCCACCCACTACTCTGATCCCACCCCCAGGAACCCTGTATCTAGCAGCCTCTTCTTAACATCTCACCAGTGCTGCTTCAATTCCCTGGGCCACTTTCCCCCGGTCCCAGTACCTTCTTCGCCCTCTTCTCAGGGCCTCAAGCCTGCAAGTCCCAGCAGCCAGCCAGAAGCTCTCTCTCTAGCTCCCCTGGTCTCTGCTAGCAGCTACCCTGTCCAAGCTTCCTGCAGCACCTCACCGCTGCTGGCCCTGCGGCTCTTTTTATATGGGCCTGCTGGGCCCTGATTGGCTGCTCCTCACAGCCACTCTCCAATTGGCTGCTCCCTGTACAGCCTCCCTTGGCTGCTTTTAACCCCTTCTCTGCCAGTGTGGGGTGAATGCTCCTGCACAACTAAACCATGGATTTGTCCAGTTTTCTTTATGTACGCAGCAGTAAGTTTAGGAAATGCCTTCCTCACTAGGAAATGTGTTTATATACATTTATTCTAAATGTTTGGGCTTCTTACTTTCTCCTGTAAAAGAAAAGTAGAAAGAAAAAAAGACAAGTCTTACCCCATGATGTTAAGAATTCTGCAGCATATCGGTAGACGCGGTTCATCATTTCAATCACAATAGCATAGATTATGCTGGGCAAAAATAGCATTAATTTGCTAAAATAAGACTCATTCTCCTCATGAAAATCCAGAGCCCAAGTCTCCAACTCAAAGTAAATCATCATGACATACAGTGAGAAATAGAGGCAAAGGCACACAAATGGCAAGGACACCAGATAAATTCGTATCTGTCTTTTAATACTTGAGTATACCGGCTCCTCCTTGCCAGTGACAGGATTGATTCCCAAAACACCATGAAATCCTGGCCTCGGTTCCTCAAACTGCCGCTTCATCAACAGTGTCCCCCATCTGTAAGTCATAATAGCACAGCAGCGCTTCCAAACTTCAAGGATTACTGTAGACCAAAGTAGATTGAATGAGGCAAACATCACATACTTGTCATAGTCTTCCCATGCAAACACATAGTAAGGAATCCCAATGAGAGCCATAGGAACCAAAGCAAATGTGAAGTATTCCAAAAAGCCAAAATACAGAGCAATCGTTTCACCAAAATAGCAACGGATTTCATCTGTGGAGAGAGAAAAAAAAAAAAAACTAAGCCAAGGCAAGGAGGAAAACACCAAAAGAACTTATTTTTCAAAACACACAAAGCTTTTTAAAATATTCTGAGACAGAAATACTAAAATCTTCAATAGGAACTGCATTATCTTCTAAAGACACAAAAGAGTTATCTGATTGGCACACTAAAAGAAGGAGTGAACATTAGGTTCCTATGTCATACTGGTTGCATTGAAGACAAGATTTCCTTTCAGATATTACCACTAAGTAAACAACTTATCCATTTCACCAAACCATTAGAGGGTTTGTCTACACTAACTGCCTGCAGCAATCAATCCAACGGGGGTCGATAAATCGACCGCTGAGCACTCTCCTGTCGACTCCGGTACTCCACCAGAAGAGAAGCGCAAGCAGAGTCGACGGGAGAGCGTCAGCTGTCGACTTACCCCAGTGAAGACACCGCAGTAAGTAGATCTAAGTATGTCCACTTCAGCTACGCAACTCACGTAGCTGAAGTTGCGTATCTTAGATCGACCCCGCGTTGTAGTGTAGACAAGAACTTATTTGATTATGTTAAACCATTCCCAACATAGATCTCAGTGTAATATGAAATGAAGTTTCAGATTTAGACAATGGCCCAAATTTCAGTTTCCTAAACAGAGAAAACCAGTATCATTACTTCTCTGTAATTCTTACCACACCTCCAAAACTACCAGAGGGTATATTTGAAAAAAAAAATGAGTAGGAAAGCCGTAACTACAGCTTATCTTAGCATCTACAACTATAGCATTAAATATCTAGTAGAAACAAAATGCTAACATCAATTAAAGCATTACTGATTTCAAAACACTGTGTTATTGCAAAGTTAAGACTGACGAGTTAGGCATTCAAAAGAAATGCCAAAATTAAGGTTAATGCAGAATTTTAGCAGAGCCTCTGCTTACATGTATTAAAATATTGTCTTTATGAAATGACATTGTGACAGGGTGACTGCTGATCAGAGTCTAATGTGGGGGGGAGGGGAGGAGTTTGCTGGAGTTTAGCGGGGAGCAAGACTTGGAATCTATAAAGCTTGCCTCAGCTTTGAAAGAGCCTGTTAGCCTTGGACTGAGGTTATTTTAGAAGCCTGCCCAGCTGTAAAGATTTTCTCCAGCTCTGAAAAAGACTGGAAAAAGCTTAGCCTAGGCAGAGGCCTGCTGCAGCTATGAAAGACTGAGCTTAATGTGGAAAGATCACTGAGAACCACCCGGCCCAAAAGATGTTCTTTAGCCTGGGCAAAGACTTGTTCTAACTACGGGGATTTTTTTTTACCTTAGCTGAGAGATTAAATGTTCTGAAGCAATCATGGGAATTTCTATCATTTAAGTTTCTTCAGTTCCTGAGGGACCTTAATTGTTAAGCTTACACACATTTAACTACTCAAAAGTACAATAAAAAATGCTGAATTTAAGAACGGATATCCAATCTTCCATGACCCCATGCATTTGCATGTATACATTACAATTTAACCTTTTATTACATTAGCATATAATTTCTCAAATATCAAACATTTTTTTCTACAATCTTAGATATAAGTTTAGCATCTTCTATTTTGTACTCTTCTGTGTATGCCAGAAAAACAAAGTCCATGACAAAGCTTTGCCTCATACAATTCACACCTTATAACTATAGTATCCAACTGAAAGAGCATTCTTCACCTTCTCAGTACAATATGTAGTTACGTTTCCATGTATGTATAAACAGTATTATGCATCCATCACTTAAAAGATTGGTAAGAAATACTAAAAAAAAAAAAAAAGGTAAACTGAAAGTACTATGTATGCCTGAAGTACAATTTTCAAACCTCATAACCGGGTGCTCATATACCATTGTGATGGGCATGATTTAAAAATCAGAATAGAACAGCAATCAAAAACAGTTTTCACCAGAACCGATTTTAACTTTCTCGCCTCAGCTACGCTGGCACTAGAGCTGTTAAAAATAAACTTGTAAGAATTCCTTTTTACGATGAGGAAAATGTTTTTCTCCCAACAATCTCCTCATATTCAAAGATGGTTGAATTGTTATTGCTCAAACTAAGCTATAATTAACTATGGCATTTCCTTACTTTTGAGTGTTTAACTGTGAAACTGTAACACTGCATTAAATGTATTCTTTCCTACATTTCATTTTCCAGGGTTTTGTTGTTTTTTTTCCAGGGCCGGGGGGGTGTTAAAGAGGGATACAAACCAGAAGACCTTCTGTCGCCAGTGGATTCAATCTCCAAAGCCTTGGCTAATGGACTTTGGAAGTTCATTAACCCAAAGCAAATCACACTTTTATAACTTCCCTTAACCTGCTGCCATGCAATGCCAATTATCCAAAAGTTTCAGGAAAATAGTTTAGATAAAGTGAGTCAGCAGGATCGGAAGTCTGTACTCAGAAACTGCTCTCTTGATTAGAAAAGGACAGCTAGCTTCTCAAAAGCTCACCACCACTGGAGCCACTTCTGATTTCAAGACATTTTATTTATTCAGTGAAATAAGTGCGAACATACCTAAAGGTTGATAACTAATTTTGACCTGGCCACACCAGGTGTACCAGAGCTTCTTCAATTCTTCTGTATCATGAAGTGGGAAAATCTGAAGTAGGATACCACTGGTCATCAATCTTCTCACTGAAAGAAAATGGGGAAAGTTATGCTTACATGGCTCCTGTAAAGTCATAGTACAGTTAGCATGCTTGCATTGGGTTACATTATAACTAGCAAGCCTAAAAAATGTTTGAAAAAACAACTAACTTGCTACTTAAATCCTTATAATACACATAATATGTGCACTTAAAAATTCTTATATATTAATCTAACATTATATAATATAGGAGGTGCATAATTGGTTAACGTCCCGACAAAGACCTGGGCTTCAATGTTATCTCCAAGAGAAACTTGATAGTCCGTCTCATCATACAAACTACTCCACAGGCTGGCAGTTTCTATGGCTTGAACAGCAGGTGGTGTAGCAGATCAGAACTGAAATGCAGTCATACACCCATGTGGGGAAGCTTTAACAGCACCTGCCACTGTGCCTGGTTCTAGCGGATGAACTTATTGTTATTTTCATGAGCACCAAAAGTTATTAATATTTGAAAAAAATTAAGCCTATCAAAACAAACTAAAAGAAATAGTTGTTCTGGTTTTTTTTTACACTATTATTCCATTTCTTGCAGGAAATTTCTTCTTAAATTGCAAAGGAGCCAAATCCGAATGCTCTCTTCATTATAGAAAAAATCTCATATTAGGATATCATAATTTGTATTCAATTTTTATGATAGAAAGCAAGTGCTATTTATGTTATGTGCACATCAATATAAGGTGCTCAGGGGGTTGGAATTTTAGAATGAGCCTAGGTAAATGGATTAAAAGGCAAATAATTCTTCCATCGACCTAGCTACTGCCTCTCTGAGAGGTGGATTACCTACATTGATGGAAAAACTCATTCTATCAATGGAGGAAGTGTCTAAACTATAGCACTACAGCATCACAGCTGTGCCACTGTGGTGTAGACATACCCTCAGACTCACCTCTGATATTTGCAACTAATCTGTCAATAAAAATTTCTTGTGCTATTAAAAGACACAAATCTTTCTATTCTGTAGACATTAACATTGAAATATAAAAACAAACTCTAATGATCCACAGATATTAAAAGATATGTTACATTTCTTTAGAAAACAACTTATGTGCCAATGGGCTAGTTCCAGCTTTCCTAAAAATAGTACCCTCTTATTGCTCCCTTCCCCCATGAAATAGAAGAGCTCTCAAGTCTGAGGAAAAATGATCTACCAAGGATGATTTAAAGAGTTGCAGATGAAACCAAACTTCCTTTCTCAGTAATGTAATACTAGTGGTCTGGAAAAACTATTACTTTTTCTGATACTTTCATAAGGAGACAAACCAAACACATCATTATCTAAAGTGAACCACATCAAATAAAATGCTTTATCACACAATCCTTCCAAAGCAACACATATAACATCTATTCCCTGGATAATTAATATAGTTCACATTGTCTAAAATTTGCTAACAGAAACAGAAAGTTACAAGTTGTCATCTTCTACGCACGGAGCATGAGTATTTTTTCATAAACGGTGAGTAAATTAATTAATGTAAATAGATGCTATTCAATCTGCATCTGCTAGCTTTCCCATTAGTATGCTTTGTGATGGTTCTTGTGGCACGCAAGACCGAAACATGCCATAGTGGCTGGGTGTTAGCTCCCCGATACTAGCAGCCTTTCAGCACCTCAAGCACTCTCCTTTGGGCTATGGCAGCCCTATCTTTGCCTTGCAGGTTAACAATAGATGCACCCCTCGTCCCTGAATCTCTTTGAATTGTTCCGCTGTGATATCCTACCCCTCACACTGGCTACTCAGAGAAATCCCAGATCCTCTGCCCCCAAAGGACCAGTGTACCCCAATAAGTAGTTTTACCTTAAATCACTGCTCCTGTAAAATCACACAGCACTTGTGAGCACTTATAATAAAACAAACATAGCTCTCCATTTTTCCTTAAATAAACCTAACTAGAAAGTGTGGTGGAAACAAACGTTATAATACAAAACAAAATCATAAAACTTGAACATGGGTCTACACTTACTATTAATTACGTTTCTACTTAATAAAGTAGGTTTCCCCCCAAAGTTCAGTATGCGGCAGAGCTGGCTGGCTTCATAGGAACCAGGATCCAATTTTTCCTGATAACATCCCTGCTACCCAAGACATCTCCTCAGTGAAAGGATACAGAGTACCTTTTCTGACTCTCTGTTATACTGAAACAGTATTTTGTCTTTACTCATAGGTAGGGTGATTCTCTGTTGTAATGAGAATTCTCTGTTGTAATGAGAAGTCCTCCAAGCGGCCTAGACTGGTTGCGGAGAAGCAGCCAATGAGAGAAGCTGCAGAGAGCAGCCAAGCAGGGCCATATAAAAGGAGCTCCAGAACAGAGCAGTAGTCAGTTGCTGCCTGTAGCTGGAGGAGAAAGGACTGTGTTCCTGGTTGGCTGAAAGAGCAGCAGGACCACGGACAGCTCAGTATGATTGGGAACCTGAGAAGGAAAGACGCTCCTGGCTGGCTGCTGTGACTGAGTCCAAGACAGTTGCCAGCAGGGACTGGGGGAGCAAAAAAAGTAGCTCCTGGCTGGCTGCTGGGACTAAGTAAGGACCAAGCCGAGGGAGGGCCACAAGAAGACTGTTTCCAGGGAGGATGCCCTGGAGGTCCGGCCCCATACTAGAGCCAGGACAAGTTAAAGACTGTACATCTCAGAAGGGGGTTGTTTTGTTTCACATACAATGTGTGAGTCTCAGCCAAAAACCACCTGAGGAATCACTGACAGGGTTCACCATAAACTGAAAGACTGCAGACATACCCGACCAGAAGGGGGCGCTTGCAAGAGGTGGATGTCACCCCGTTACAAATCCATTATGCTTTGCAGACATTCGTGAAAATTTAACATTTCTGCATGCAAATCCTCAAAAGGCAAGAATTTGTCTCACCACATATACATCTTCGACATGCTTTTAAAGTCTATTTATTGTAATACTCAAATTTTTCATGGTAATAAGGTTTGCATATGAAACTAAAAAGATTAAAGAATCTAATCACTAAATTGATTAGAAATGTGAATTAAAAATTTGCTTCATAACTATCATACAGCATTTATACATTCATTTATCTTTTCAGAAGACCAGTAGTTGAAGTTTATTAAAAAAAAAAAACTTCATTTCTTTACACTACTCCAATTCTTAAAGATGCAGAAAAATAAAAAGATACAGGAGTAGTACTGGAGACCTTTTAACTTTTGAAGGATTTCTCATGGCTACAGGAAGTTGTGAACATCCCCTTTACCTTACATATTCAAGATGAGCAATATGTTTCAACATATTAGTCAAAGCAATCAATTAAGGATACCATAAACTAAATCACTTACTAATTGATTTTCCTGGATACAGCTTTGCCTGAGGGTATCCAGGAATCATTCTTTCATCTTTGGCTCTCAAATTTTCAAGTTCGTGCTTGATGATGTACTGACGCTCGGCCATTGTAAGGAAATCGTGATTGTCCTCTAAATAAGAAAAAAAAATGGTTCATAATACCCTTTCCTTAGCATACCAAAAAAATCTAATGGAGATAATTGCTTAGGACACTGGGGACAAAAATAGGCACTAAAGACCAACAAGTTCAGAAAAGAAATACTGTACACCAATATTATTCGATCACACATTTGTGAGAGAAAACTCCTGCCTCCTAAAAGCCTTCAATGATAAGAAACACATTTCAGCTACTGCATATTTAATCTATCTATATGAATTGAGAACATCAAAAGGGAGAATATTGCCCACTTGCAATTATGTTTCTCTGAAGATATAATTCTGACAATGTCTCACTCCCAGGTTTTAGCACCATAACGAAAGACAGGCAGGATTTCTCAGCTCTTACAGAATTTTGACCTCTGAGGGCAGCAGTAGTATGTTAGCGCACAAAAAAGGCCCCCTAGCAACTATTTCACACCAACCCTGCTGGATATAAATACTATCTTCTATTGCACAGCAGGTTAATGTAACAGAATGGTGAACCAATTCAAAATAATTAAATCATGACCAAAGTAATGAGAAACCTTAAAAAAAAATCCCAAACTCTAAGGGGGTTTAGTGGGAATCCTGTTGGTACTATATCTTCAGAGAAGCAGAATTATAAATAAACTTTCCCTTCTCTGAAGATACCATCCAACTGCATTTTTAATTTATGTTAATGCAAAGTAGGTACCTTTTAATTCATGCTAGCATAGTCTACACAGGGCAACTGGAGCACAACACTTTAAAGTGCTCTACAATTCACAGCTCCATAGTCCAGACTATGGCATGGTCTTCCAATTTCAGGACAGCCAGACCATAAAAAGAAATGCACTTTAACAACTATCTGGACATGGTCATCTTGGTAACAGCATTGTCCAGCAAACTGGTGTCAAATCATGCAAAAAAATTAATCAACATTTAAGGGCTTCAGTGATGCCAAACAGAACCCCAAGAGCCTTTTGACACAGAAAATACAGAAAAGGGCCTCACTGAAATGGACACGTGAAAAAATGTTGATAAGACAATAGGCTAATTTAAGATGGATCTCTGCTACTTCCTTGGAAAGCAGGAGTTCTGCAAATCTCGCACTATGGAGCTAAGACCCCTAAGAAAGACTCATTGCATGTGGTATCCTTAAAGCAATGCATTATTATTCTTGGTAGTGCCTACAATGTTCAAACACAAAGGAAGGAATGGACCTTTCCCCGATTAACTCCCAATCTAAAAAATACAAACATGAAATCTATCATTCCCATGCTAGTGACCAATTGCTTGATGTACAAACATAATGGATCAAAATAGTCCCATTTTTTCCAGCTAATTGAAATGCAGTTAACCCCAAAATTTTGCTTTTCGTGGTTCTTTTTTTAATCAGAAAAGGAGGCAATAATATTAACTAATACTTTAGATAGTGTTAATCATGTACATATTACTAACAAATTTAAGGTCCTTGTTAACTTTATTATAAACTGTCATATCAATAAATGAACGTAGAGATACATCAGGTAAAAAAGCATCAAGTAAAAGCACAGGAACATTACAAGATGTGATTCATCCAGAGACAGGAAATACAAATTAATTCCACAATGAAGTCTGAATGTTCAAAGGTCCAAAGGATTACATAGACAGTGGCTTATTCTAGCTACTTCTGTTAGCTTTTACTATTCCAAGAAACAGAAAGACAATAAAATATTTGACTAGTTAAACTGTGCACTTATGCACCTATAATCTTTGACCACATCTTTTTAAATTATTCAGGAATAGTCCTAAAACGCTTAAGGCACTTTACCTGCAAAATCTTTGAAGGTGTTTCTACTGCTGTATGTAAAGGTTCTCATTGAGTTATCATTACATTCTTTTACCAATCCCACAGTTTCAGCTCCCAGCAGCAGCCTTAAGTGAGAGGCTCCAACAAGATATAAATTTTGATTTCCATCTATTTTTCCTCCATCTTCTTTTACCAAAGGTTTAACCAACAGCTGGGCACCTTTAATGAAAGGCAAAATAAAGTAAGGAACATATAAAAGGCACATATTAAACATTATGATTGTAATACTTATCACTCAATAAGTTCCAATTCTGTGAAGTGCTGAGAACCGACAGTTCTCATTATAGAGACAAGGTGGGTGAGGTAGTATCTTTCATTGGACCAACTTCTGTTGGTGAGAGAGACAAGCTTTTGAGCTAGAAAAAGGTGGCATGCACATTTGACTTTTCCAAGCTACTTCTGACCCATAGCCCATTGCGACTATTTACTCTGCTATACATAAATATAACTTTAAACCATTTTTATGCAATTGGATTTCTACTAAATTTATATAGTACAAGGGAAAGGGGTTGGAAACAGGGACTTTATTTTGCTTTTTTAACCGCGTAGAAAATTCCAGCTCACATAGCTAGAACACTACTACATACAATTCTCATTATAGTCAGTGGAGGCTAAAGAGGCATAGCAACTCGTAAGAGGTGTTAACCACTTTGCAGGATTGGGCCCTGATTTAATTTAGTTTCTGTAAACACCTGATCCAGTAGGACTAGCAAGAGAATAAACACTGCAATTGACAGCCTGGCACATGGAGGACAGTTAGGAAGTTTCAGTCTACTCCTATAAAATGCATACACCTCTACCCCGATATAACGCAACCCGATATAACACGAATTCGGATATAACACGGTAAAGCAGCGCTCTAGGGGGCGGGGCTGCACGCTCCGGCGGCTCAAAGCAAGTTCGATATAACACGGTTTCACCTATAACGCGGTAAGATTTTTTGGCTCCCGAGGACAGCGTTATATCGGGGTAGAGGTGTACTTACAACATAAGTAATCCTTATTTATGCAAATAGTTCCACTGACTTTAGCAGGCTACTCATAATAGTAAGGCTTGCATGATCAGGCCTTTTGACATAATCATCATCTACCTACATGTGACAGGCCTAGAAACTAGTTTGTGGCCACAATCCAACATCAACTCAAGTCTTAATGATCAATTGATTTTCTACCTGTGTCAATAGCAAAATAAAGTCCCTGTTTCCAACCTTTTTCCCCTGTACCATATACATTTAATAGAAATCCAACTGCATAAAAATGGCTTAAAGTTATATTTACGTATAGCAGAGCAAATAATCACAATGGGTCATGGGTCAAAAGGGAGCTTGGGAAATTCAAATGTTCATGTCACCTTTTCTAGCAATACAGAAGATAGATATTTCATACCATATCTAAAATCCTGTGAATACAAATTCTTTCAACTCATAACTTTATGAAAGAGCTATTACTATGCTACTGATAAATGTTTTAAAGTTGAAAAGTTAATGTTCCAAAAAAGATATTGACATAATTAGAGCATCATCCACAAGCTCTAGCTTAAATTTTGCTTTAATAATAGTTATAAAAATGATGCTAAGTGCAAATTACTTAGTCGCACATTACTTCACTAATTTTTATTTGCAAAATACACCACTTTTATCCATTGCTTAGAAAATGTTTCAGGGAAAGAAATGTCCTAATTTTAAGAAGTTTACTAAAATTTCCATTCATTTCTGAAATCCTAATGATTCTGTTGCCTACCTTATATGTGTTTATAATAAACTACACCAGTTTTCCTAATATGGGGAAAGTAAGAGCAACAGACTTAAATGTTGAACTCTGGGAATAATATTTGCATCCTCAATTTTTAAAGCGACATGCTATCTACACTATTAATTTTGACTACAAAGAATTGTTATATCAAAATATTGGTTTACTGTCAGAGAATTATCTTAGTACTTGGTTACTTGTATTAGACAATCAAGATGCAAACCTTACCTAACATTCTAATACTTTCTTCCTCCATGTCTCATTCTTCTTCAGATTCTTACTGTTCCCTAACCTCTCTCTTCAATGACCCACTATGCTACCAACAACCATCTTATCCGTCTTAGCTCTACAGTGAAGTTTAGCAGTCTAAAATCAAGTGCAAAATCCACTTTGCCAATTCTGTGTGGATATCTGAACTCCTTTCATTCTTTCAGCAAACAAAATGAATAATTTTGGGGACCTAGAGAATGATTTCATTCTTCGGAAGTAGGTTAGCGCCAATCTAAAGTATGTAACCTGACTTCATCAAAATGAATGGGGGAGGGGGGTGGATAAAATTCCAGTAAAATGTGTAATCCAATTCAGGTGGAATTCGGACATTATTTTGTGTACTAAGGGAAACTTTGTCCCAGTAAAAGACTGTGGGACTGGGGGTGGGGGGAGATCAGCCATGAGAGATTCTGACTCTCCCACCTCTTCTCACAGATGTTATTGTTAAAAAAAGAAGGTTGTCACGGACAGATATAGAAAAAACCATGAAGCCAAGGGTTCATACAGACCTGCCAAAACAACATTAAGGTCCCATATTAGGGTAGATTCTACTACAGGTGGAAATATTTTCATTAAACCTCTCAAGAACCTAGATGTGGAAAGGTAGAAAAATACTGGAGAGCTATCCAAGGTGAGGGGGAAGGCACTAATAGCTGCTAGATGTACCCTCAGAGAGCTGAGTGAAAGATTTGAGGTCTTCTGCTAAAAGATATAGTCTACAATGTCAGGTATCTGAGACTCTGGAGGTGCCAATTTATATTGATCACACCAGATGGCAAATCTGTTTTACTTTGCACAGTACACTTTTCTTATAGAATCTTTTCCACTGCTGCTCAGGATGGTTTGCACCTCTGAAGAACATGATTTTTCTAGCTCTGACATCTATCCAAAAACCAAGCAGTTAAATGGCAGGAGGACAGATCAGAATGATGGGTCATTCCCTCACTCTGAGACACAAGATCCAGCATGAGAAGCAATCAGATTAGGGTGACCAAATGTCCCGATAAAATCGGGACTGTCCTGATATTTAATCCTTTGTCCCGCATCCCAATCAATGTACAATCGGGATGCCATTTGTCCTGATATTCAGGTAAGGAGGCGAGCAGGAGGGAGGTGCCGACAGTATGCCAACATTTTTATGGCTGACTCCAGGGTTGGAGCACCCACGGAGAAAAATTGCAGCCAAGCTCCCCCACTCCTCGCCTCCTTCTCCCCCCCCCCAAGCGTGCCACGTCCCCGCTCCGCCCCCCCATGCTTCCTGCCACTCTGCCCCCCCCCCGTGCTTCCTGCCACCTACCAGCTGTTTGCCAGCGCTTAGTGCTTTCCAGGAGGGAGGAGCGGGCACCCAGCGCACTCAGGGGAGGAGGCGGAAAAGAGGCAGGGCAGGGGTGGGGTAAGAGGCGAGCCGTCGGCGGGCAAACAGTGGGTGGGAGTCCGAGGAGGGACGCAGCAAGCCAGCGGCAGGCCGGGGGATGAGGAAGGCCGCAGTGGAGGGGCCGAGCGGGGAGGGGGCAGGACCTGGGGCAGAGTGGGAGCAGAGCCTGGGAGGAGCAGGGGTGGACTGTGGGCAGGGCTGATGGCACCCCAATGTGTCCCGATATTTTAGTGTGGTGATCTGGTCACCCTAAATCACATTGGAGGGCAAATGGACAAGTGAAAAAGTTGTGGGGAACAGTATTGCCTCAGCCACACAGAAGTTTATAATCTTTGCCTTGTCTTGTCTGATTTTCCTTAACACCCTCAGAAGCAATGGAATTGGAGGATAGGCATATGTGAATACGGAATTAGGAATGCATCTGCCAGGGAACCTGGGCTTTGACCTCCTCTGGCACAAAATATCCAACATCTCTTGTTCTTATCTATTCTAAACATTCCCCTGCTGCTGGCCCTTCTGGTGGAAAACGAACCAAATCACCAATTTGTGGATTTCCCATTCATGAAGAAGTGCATGTTGAGATTGCCTGCTAATGTGTTCTGGAGAACCGTTAAAAGATTGCTGCAATTTAGTTTGCACCAGTTCCATAACTTTACTGTCTCTGCAACACACAAGGAATGATCTCACTCCACCCTGCTTGTTTATGTAAAAATCTGCAGTTGTATTATCTTGACATAATCTGAACAGACTCATGAATTACCAGCAAGAAATGCATTTTACATGGCTCTCAGCTCCCGGCCATCACCCTCTGACCCACTGAGGGTTACCAAAAGAAACTACACCATTTGCTCAAGAAACTCCCTGAAAAAGCACAGGAACAAATCTGCAGACACACCCCGAGAACCCCAACCAGGGGTATTCTATCTGCTACGCAAGATCACTAAGCCTGGAAATCCTGAATGCCCCATCATCTCAGGCATTGGCACCCTGACAGCAAGACTGTCTGGCTATATAGACTCTCTCCTCAGGCCCTACGCTACCAGCACTCCTAGCTATCTTTGAGACACCACTGACTTCCTGAGGAAACTACAATCCATTGGTGACCTTCCAGAAAACACCATCCTGACCACTATGGATGTAGAAGCCCTCTACACCAACATTCCACACAAAGATGGACTACAAGCCATCAGGAACAGTATCCCCAATAATGTCACGGCAAACCTGGTGGCTGAACTTTGTCCTCACCCACCACTATTTCACATTTGGGGACAATGTATACCTTCAAGTCAGCGGCACTGCTATGGGTACCCACATGGGTCCACAGTATGCCAACATTTTTATGGCTGACTTAGAACAATGTTTCCTCAGCTCTCGTCCCTTAACGCCCCTACTCTACTTGTGCTACATTGATGACATCTTCATCATCTGGACCCATGGAAAAGAAGCCCTTGAGGAATTCCACCATGATTGTAACAATTTCCATCCCACCATCACCCTCAGCCTGGACCAATCCACACAAGAGATCCACTTCCTGGACACTACAGTGCTAATAAGCGATGGTCACATAAATACCATCCTATACCAGAAACCTACTGACCACTATACTTACCTACATGCCTCCAGCTTTCATCCAGACCACAAGATCCATTGTCTACAGCCAAGCTATAAGAAACAACCGCATTTGCTCCAATCCCTCAGACAGAGACAAACACCTATAAGATCTCTATTAAGCATTCTTACAACTACAATACCCACCTGCTGAAATG